AAGGTTAGGATTACTAAATCTGTAGCATACATAGAACTCTTACGCTCCTATGTACATCATTATGCATAATGGCAACAAGAGCCTCATTTAACAGTAAATGAAATAGTTTAGGGGTTCCAAAAACAGGAGACAATAAATAGGAAAAGAAAGCTTTGCATATCCTGGAAGGAGCTATTCTAAAGTTTTATCCTTGTACAACAAGAACTTACAAAGTTTGCTTCTTTTTCCCAGAGTTTCCACAAAGTCAGGGAGTCACTTTCAATTCGTCATGCACTAAAGGCAAAGCATCACCTTTTACTTCTGATTTTATTTCATCTCAGCTAGCTCCATGGTACACCACCTATCAAAAGCCTACTACAAAATAACAAAAAAAACCCCAAACAAAACCAAAACAAAACCACAGTAGAGAAAGGAAAAATAGCACTATGTACAGGGCAATAACCAGTTCTACAGGAGAAGCCTGCCTCCTTGTGGCTCAACTAATCGTTAATCGGACTTCTCCATTCCATTATACCCCGTAAATCTGGCAAGCCAAGAGTAACAAGCTTCTAGTTCAAGGTGTTTGGGGATTTGGTATTGATGGACTTTTGGGGGGGGGTGTCTTTTTTTTTGGGGGGGTGTAAGGGAGAGGGAGTTGATAAAAAAGAAATACATATCTAATTTTAAGAAGCACTGGCAAAAGTTACCCTTCTCGTGTTACTGAAAGATTGTTTTTAGTCTCCTCCTTTACATAGCAAAGGGTGGGAAGGGAAAGAGGTCCAACGTAAAAACAACTGACACTCTTTACATGGCAACAAAAGATTGCCAGCATTCTGGCACCTAAATCCAGAAGGCTACAAACCTTGGCTCAGCTGTAGCTTAACCTAGCAGGCCTCTCTTGATGCCTTAGCTTTTAACAGTAAAAGCCCTCGCGGCCTACAGGTCTCCGCCGGGGTATGCCTAGTAGGATTTCACTCTTGGCAGCAGTGACGCATTGGGTGCTTTCGACAAGACGTAGACATTCCTCTGTCTTGCCTGAAGGGCTCAATTACAGGGGGCTATTCTCTTACTACCTAGAAGAGCAAGTTCTTTTGGAAACAGCTGGAGGTTTTGGCTGGCAGGGTTTTTTTGGGTTGAGTTTGTTGGGTTTGGGTTTTTTCCAATCCAGTCACTCTACTGTGCAAGAACTTGGTGGTTAAAGAACTCAAAACCTGTGTGACAGAGTCAAATTCAAGTCCACACTCTTCAGAGGGGATCATATCACAATGACTTTGGCTTGGGAGGGTATGAGTAACTTCCTACACATTTTTCACCAGCTGCTCCACGTTCTACAAGCCTGGAACACAGAGCATAAACCACTTTTGCTGTGGGTTAGGAACTTCAGTCACAAAAAGAAGGGAAGTTCCAGTCTCCACTCCAAAGCCTTTTTTAATATAAAACACATTAAGTGAACATAAAAGTAGCCCACATTTTCTTACATTCTCACAACTGTAGGGCTTGCAACTTTCTTTCTTACATGTTACTGCCTCTCTTTTGCAAACTGTTTCTCTAACCTTTACACAAGTGAATCAGACTCACTCTTTCCAATCTATAACCCAGCGGCTAGAAAAGGAATGAACTGAACATGGCTCTCATATGCTTATAATCATTTTAATTGGACATTCACTAAAGGTGAGAAGAAAGCAAAAAGAGACACTTCTTCCCCCTCCAAGCACATTTGGAATTAAAGGCTTTGACTCTACCCTTCTCTTCAAAAAATATTTTTTTTTTAAAAGGCAAAAAAGAAAAAGGTTGTCACACCCAAAATTCCAGACATGGAAGACACCACTTCTTTCTACTACAGTTTTAATGCCTAGGTCCTGAGTGAGTGAGAAACATTGCACCTTCCTAATGTTTTTGTTATTACTATTCACACATTTACCAATGAGACAGCTTCTGCCCTGTGTGCTTTAAACACTTTCATGCCAGCTCAGCTCCTACCAGGCCAGAGCGCTGCACGCAAGGCTGTGGGTTCCACTGCTGTTGCCAGGGGCCAAAAGACTGGAAAAGGCCGTACCACACACTTCAGCATCCAAATAGCTCCATAGATCTCATTAGAAAGTTGTAAACAGAGAACCAAACAAGTACAAGCTTACATGAACACAGACACTACTCTAATAACAAAAGCAAAGGGAAAAAAATAATCACTCTTCTTTTACTCAGGTGCAATGCTGGCAAAGGGCAAACACCTTCAACTCCACTGAAGAGAAAGTGAATGGTGGTGCACATCATATAGCAGGACTGGCTATGGTACTAAACACATCCAGGATGTCTGGATAACACACCAGCTCTGTGTATGGATGAAGAATCACCCTCGTGGAAAAAACATTCTGTTTGTATAACCAGGTCTGTAATTAACATGCAAATTGCTTACACAATTTGAGAACTATCCCCTCCTGGCTTTTGTAATTTTATAGTCTGAACACGGCAGAAACTTCAATTTACTAAAAGTGATGTTCTTCTGTACAAACTCCATTCCCATTATACTGAAAAAGTGGGCAAGTAATAAGGACTACATGAAGTCATACACACAAAGAAATTTACCACAGGAGGTTTTCTGTTCCTAAGTTTAAGACAGTTTGTGTTTTTGCTTTATACCAGGGTCTGACACTAATTTAATAAGCCCTTTATTGAGATTCAAAAGCCATTACATTACACACATCTTCCTCTACTTACATTTGTTAACCTACGCTGAGGCACAGGATTAAATTTTACGCTTCACTGACAGAAAATAGAATCCTAAATCACCAATGCACGTATAATTGTTAATTTCCCCACTTGTTTCTTGTGGTCACAGTACCTACTTTCTTCCTTACCACAGTTTAACTTTAAACTTTCGCATTTTTAGTCCTAGCTCTGTGCTTCAGTTCAGGCCTATCAAATGTCTCATTTTCTTTAAATTATCTTTCCTAAACTCTCCCAATTACCCAGACCAGCAAGGTTTACTGAATTTTGCACAGAATTATAACAAACCATACTATTGAAGCATGTGTTAGCATATTGTAAAACCATAATAAAAACTCCTGCTAATATCAATAATAAACAGCAGCAGGTTCCAGTAGATTAGGTACCGGCCCCATACCCAGAAAAACTGGTTTCTTTTCTATTTTATTCTCACCTAGTCTTCTAGGTGACCTTGGGCAAATCACTATCCCCAACACTGCAGTTTCTCCAGCAGTAAAAATGAATTGAGCAGAGTTGCAAATCTGTCTGGAAACTCCAAATGAAGCACAACATAAGAGTTAAAAATGCATTTCCCTATCTGCAGATATATTTGCCTTGATAGCTTTCCTTTATCCCACTACACATCAGCAGCAGCACAAGACTGCTTTTCCTTTCTAAATACACTCTGGTGGCTCTTCGAGAAAGGCTTTAGGCTACTGCTTTACTTTTTATCACATGCTTCATCTATTTCTGCTCCTGTATCTACTTTGAAGGACCAAGAGCTTGTATTTAGCAATACACACTTAACACTTCCTTTAATATATTATGTCAAAAAGCTGCTGTTGAACACATTCCTAAGCTACGGGGAAAAGATAAAACAGGGCACATCAGAACAGAGAGCCAATTAGCAACGAGCAGCAACTCATTCTCCAGACCCTTGCTCATGTAAGTAATCACACAAGTATTTGCCTTCACAACCTGCCACGGGAACCAGTCATCAGCAGAATTTTACTGGAGATACATGCACTGATGAACCAAACTGCAGCAAAGCAACGTGAAAAGATTCCTCCCCTTATACACTGCTACATTTAAGAAAGGCTACTTTTCTCTTAACAGGAGACTGCCATTTAACAAGCCAGTACACTGCTTAGCTGCGATGTACTTCACTCACTTGCCCTCTTCCCATTTCTGGGTTTGGCTGGGGTTTTCTGAAACAGATGCAGTTCTGAGATGCTTTATCCCCTTTCCTGTTCCAAAATCTGAGGTTTTAACATTCTCTACAAAGCTCTTGTCTTTGGTAGGCGCTTTTTCTTTTTTTCTTTTTTTTTCTGGGGGGGGGGGGGAGCCCATCAAAAGAAAAAAAAAGCACGTTTACTCATAATTAGTTAGTGGATAAAGTCATCACTTTACACATCATGCCACAAACCCCTGGCTTAACTGACACAAACATGAACTATGGAGCACTTAACTCCCAGTTACCTTCCTGATCAATGAATTACTACAACACACGGAGAAATTTACTTCATAAGTTGATGGACAGAATAAGGAAAGCTTAGTCCTGTGCTGTCAATGGACAATTTCTTGAATGTTAGGAACTGAGCTGTTAAAAAAAAGAAAAAAAAAAGAAGAAACAGACCTTCCACATCACAGACACGAAACGTGACAAATCCAGCTATTCCCTGAAACACTGCAAAACAGATCCGAAAACGCTGTCTTCTAGGCGTAGCGCGAAGGAGCAAGAAAACCACTGTGCATCCAAGAGGGAAGAAAAACTGGGAAATGAATTTCCAGCTCGGACCCTCGAGGTGGGAACACGATCCCAAACGACTCCGGTGAGGCGGGGGAAGGGAAGGGAGGAAGAAAGGGGCAGAGGCTATCTGCTGGGAGGGGAGCGGAGCGGAGCCAAGCCGAAGCGGGCCCCCCATCCCCGGAGAGCAGCCCAGGTCCCCGCCCGCCCCGTTCTCCCCTCCCACACCAACTTCCCCCGGCCCGGGACGTGGCCGGTCGCAGTTGGGTAGGGAGCGACGTGACGAGGCTGAAACCGGTCTGAAGTCCACAAAGAAGCCATCTGCCTCCGGGAAGCGGGCTGGGGAAGGGCGAGCGGGCTGGGGACAAGGAGAAGCCGGCGGGAGTTTCACCCCGCCTGAACGCCAGAGCCGCCCCCCACCCGTGGGGATGAGGGTATACCCCGCCGCAGGAACGGGCAGCGCCGCTCGCCGCTCCCCGCCCAGCCCGGCCCGAGCCGCCCCGCCGCTGGGGCACGGATCAAGAACACCTTCCCCGCCCGCCCCGCGCCAGGCTCCGGGCTGGGCTCTCACCTTCCTCCCGCCGCCGCTGCCGCCAGCCAGTGCGGCGCTGCCGCCCGAGTACATGTAGTAGGCGATGCCCAGCACCCAGAGGAAGGCAAAGCAGAGCAGCAGCCGAGACCTGCGCCGCATCCTCCCTCCCGCGCCGCCGCCAGGCCACCAGGAAACGGCCAGCAGCAGCCTCCACTCCTGCCGCCGCTGCCGCCGCGCAGGGTCAGGGGGCAGAGGGCGAACGCCCGCCCCCCGACCAATCCCGAGCCCGCCCGGCCCCGCGGGGGGCGGGCCGGGGCTACCGGCGTCGCCATGGTTGCAGCACGCCGGGCCGCCGCCTCCTCGCTCACGGGGCGGGGGCTGCGCGCCCCCCGCGGCCGCACGGACCGGGCCCGGCGCTGCTGGACCCTCCGGCCCCTCTCCCCAGCGGCTGACTGGGGGCCAACGGCCCGGCGGCAGCGGGGGTAACGCTCCCCCTCTGTGAAGCTGCGGGGCCAAACCCCTGTCCCTATCCCGGCTGTGCCTTTCCCGGGCCGGCCGGGAGTGCCTTCAGAGCCGTGAGCTCTGGGTCCGGGCCCCCGCTTGCCTCCGGCCGAAAGCGGCGGAAGGCCAGTACCCGCGCTCCGTGGGTCTGGGTGCGGGCTGCCTGCGGAGCGGCGGCACGGGCACCCCTGACTTGGGTGGTCCCGGCTCGCTGGTGGCTGCACATGCATCCAGTGCAGTGTCCGAGCACCGTCGTGCACCACCACCAATGTGTCGGTCGTTCCTCTTTTGGGTTGTCCCACTCCCACCCGTATCGGCTGATTATAACAGAGACTCCCAGTTCTCAGAAACTCCAGACTGGCCACCACAAGTTGTCTGTCTGTCTTTCCGTGGGAACAGCAGGGAACAGATAACATGCTCTATGAAGGTGCTGTCCTTGAATTCACTTGAGCCAGGTCTTCATTAAACCTCAAAGGTGAGAAAGTCGTGTTGGATGATGTCCAGTGTCATCTGTGTGACAGGTATCTGCATATCATTTGATAAACCTCTGCCTGATGTTATCTAAGAGATTCTTCCGTGGGCTTAGGGGAGACATCAAGGTCCTGACAACCCCACCTTCTCACTGAGGTGACATACCCACTCGCCTCACACTCCTGGGGTCTCTGCCTGGGTTTTCACAGGAGGTTGACCCTTATAGGGCTCCACTCTTAGAGGCTGCTCTGATGATATGGGGTCATTGCCTGTGAAAATTACCTTTCTTCCTGCTTACCTAGTTCCACCCTTAATCGCCTCAGGACAAAAGCCACACTGCTGCTGGCTCTCACTGTGGTTCACTGACTGGGGTGTGCACAGCTCATGCTACTCTTTTTCCACACCACTGAGTTTCCTGTTGTTTGGCATTTGCTGCTATCTCATCCTACTGTGAGACATCGAGAAATGAGAACACAAAACTAGGAAGGGAAGAGACATTCCCTAACAACTAAAAAGCACCTCTATTTCAGAGCCATGGTATCCACTCAAAGCAGAATATTACTGGTTTTTAAAGTTCTTTTGTCATCTCACCATGTATATCAATAAGCTGACACACTGCAACTGGTTCTGACTGTACCCCGCATTTCTGTCCTCCTCCTGTCTATACTGATGTTAGACCTCTGCCAGCCCAGAGCTACAGAGCCTCTATAAAAGTCTTCTCCCCAAGCTGTGCCAGGATGTGTCAAGGTTCTGGCAGAAATTCTGTTGCAAGAACAGGAAAAGATCCAGCAGCCATAAGAAATGGCAGTGAAAAGCTCACCTGCTCACCAGCACAGTCACTCCTCTGACAGTCTTGTCAAGAAGGTGATTCATGTCAGTGTTGGCACTGACTGGGCAGAAGTTGTCTGGCATGCAAAGATTTCAGTGAATAACTGTTTACCTTCTCACCTGCCAGAGCCCTGATGGAGAGATAGGATGGATGAAAAGACAAAGGAAGAAATCACAGATAAGTATTCATCCAGGGAATGTAAAATAAAGAGATCATAGAATAATTGAATGGTTTAGATTAGAAGGCACCTTAAAGTTCCAACCCCTCCCTGCCCCAGGCAGGGACACCTCCCACTAGAGCAGATTGCTCAAAGCCCTGTCCAGCCTGGCTTTGAGCACTGCCAGGCATGGGGCAGCCACAGCTTCTCTGGGCAATCTGTACCAGTGTCTCACCACCCTCACAGTAAAAGGTTTCTTCCTGATGTCTACTCTAAATCTACCCTCTTTCAGTTTAAAGCCATTTCTGTCTGCCCTATCATTCCATGCCCTTGTAAAAACTCCTTCTCTGAATTTCTTGTAAACCTCCTTTAAGTACTGAGAGCTGCTCTAAGTTCTCCTCAGAGCCTTGTCTTCTCCAGGCTGAACAACCCCAACTCTCAACCTGTCTTCACAGGAGAGGTGCTCCAGCTGTCCAGTTATCTTCATGGACTTTATCTCCTCTGGACTCTTTCTTCAGAGTAAATGACTTTTTTCAGTAAGCTCAGCGTTATGATTCTTGGTTTTGAAGGGAGTTGGAGAGAGACACCCACTTTGTGCAAAACACAAGTGTTGGAGTCAAATAGCTGGCACCTATTGAAGTGAGGTACACTGGAGAGTGTGGGCTGCCAAGAGACATACACGTGTTCTAGATTAGAGTTTTTGATTTATCCAAAGTGTGTTTGATGCAAGTGAGAACAGTTCCTGCAAAAGCAGTGATGGTGCCTGGGTCTAAAAAGACACACACACACGTGCGTACACACACTCCACCCCAAAGGCTAAGTGTTAATTAGCAAAATTTTCTGCAGAATTCAGAGTACTCTCAGCAGCCCAATCTTGTGAGTATCCTCATAAACTCCTGCCGCTTAAGCTCTAGAATCAGCTAGACATGAGATGAAGAAGCAGCTCCCCAGCTGCTGGGGGATTCCTTCGCTGGGCAGATCTGCTGAGGAAGAGGGTGTTCTGCGCTACACGCTTCCCCGCAGAAAACGTATGTGTGCCAAGCACTCAGTTCTGCAAACATAATTCCATTCAGCTTCACAAAATCTGCTGGCCACTTACTCTTTAAACTCCTTACAAAACCTACAGAATATTTTCTTGCTCTTTTCATAGTCTAAAAGATCTTGGGACGGTCTCCAACGGTGTCCCCGCAGCCCTGCAGGTGTTTTCACTGATTTTAGCAATGTGCTTAGATAGATTTTTCCCTTTCCAGCAAAATTAGTCAGCCATGCATGTACAGAAAATCCTTCTGTAGCTGCACACTTCACAAGCTTACCAAAATAATCCACTGCACATGCTCAATCACAGTTTTCAAAGGTTTATACCTCGGTCAAATCAAAACTAATTTCTTCTTGAACAAGCAAATACATGTCTGCTTCAAGGAAGGCTACTTCCATGTCAGAGTTCATTTTTCAGTCTTCTGCTGATAAAGTTACAGAAACACTCAAAAAAGGCTGTAAAATCCCGTTTAGCTCAATAAAGGTTGTGGGGTTTTTTCGCTCTCCTGATATTCTGAACTGGCTGAACCAGTTTTGTTCAAAACTGTCCAAAATATTCACATTTGGACAAAGTCCCAATCCGGCAGATTTCATTCTGAATCATTTATATTTCAGAGACCACAGAAAACACAGAGGTTTAGAATGGAAAATGTTACATCGCTTTAACTCTAGGAAAAGCTGCCTGTTCCATTACAACGCATTCACGTGCACATACCTCTTTCCTCAGAAGTCCTAACGTGTTTAGTCAGAAAAGCAAGACTGGGGAAAAAAAAGAAAAAAGAAAAAAGAAAAAAAGGAGGCACTTCAATTAAAGCACAGAACTCAAGAAAAATGTAAGATATTTTTAATTGATTTTCCCACTGCATTTCAAAAGAAAATATTATCATATTTTAAAAGCAGCATTGCTAGAATGATTCACAGAATATAAATGCTTCTGTATCAACCACAGCCCTTAAACACAAGAGAGATGAAAACATGTGAGAGTACAAATAGGAGTGAATTTTGCAGAAGGAATCATCAAAACTTTGTCTTTGATCTGTAGGGCAGCCACCTAGCTTCTGTGGGACAAATTGTGATCTAGTTGAGTAGGGTGCAAACCAGAAGGAATTTGACTGAATTTATCTGAAAGCAGGTATAAAACCAGACACAACTGCAACTAGTCTAATTCAGAGTGTTAGTGTTCATCTTCTTGCAACTGAAGACCACAAAAGCTGCTCGTACTTTTCTGGAGCAAAATGACCTAGTCAGGGTTCAATGAATCCTCAGACAGGGCAAATGGAAAGCAGACCTCACCTTTAGGAATGAGTCAATCCCTTACTCATGCAAGCGATCCTGTCCTTGCAAAGGCAGGAAGGAGGATTTTCAGATCAAGTCTGAACCACAGAAAACATCTTTAAAAGCTTTAAAAGGCCAAAAATCCAACCAAGATACCTGAACCTCTTTGAAACACGGAAGCTATTATGTTACTGATCCAGTTCAGATTACATTCCTTCAAACGTGTGCAGTTATTTCAGAAAGTATATCATTCCTCCTCTCTCATGAGAAAAGTTACTCATTAGCCTAATGTAAACTGTTCTATAACATAGAAATCACACATTAATGTGAAATTTAAAATACATCTGTAGAAGATACAGGTTTATTAATGCCCCGAGAGCTTGAGCTGAGTATTCAGCCCAAGCCGAGTTTGTGTTTGTAGTGCAAGAATGGTGTCTGTAGTGAACGATACTGATCCTGCAAACATTTATGCAAATGTTTAACTTCATTCAGTGCGTATTCCCACTGGAGTCGGTCGGACTACTCAGACGGTTAAAATTATATGCTCATGGCTGAGTACTTGCAGGATTAAAGGTTAAGTGCAGATAGCAGGTCTGAAAATCTATGTGGGTGTTTTGCAATTCCTCACTGCACAGTGGTAACAATGAGAAACAGACTACCTCCTCAGCTAAAGACTTGGGAGTCAACATGTCCTTTCCCATCTGTTTAGATGCCAAGAACTATGTTTGTTTAATTTTTCAGCACAGTTTCTGATGCTACCCAGAGTAGGCAGACGTGCTGGCAATAGCACTCGAAAGTGGCTCACTTCCAGAAAATCTTGTTACCCTCCAAGAATGTTTTTTGAGGTGTTAAAACCCCAAGTAACAAATATTGTATCATGCAGTTTTACCTTGAAAACAGTTTTATCCTGCCTGACTACAGGGTTTGCCATGCAAGGTCCAAATACCTTGAGGACTTTTAGAACCAGAGCTCTCATCCTAGA